TAGTAGTTAGTTAGTTAGTTAGTTAGTTAGTTAGTTAGTTAGTTAGTTAGTTAGTTAGTTAGTTAGTTAGTTAGTTAGTTAGTTAGTTAGTTAGTTAGTTAGTTAGTTAGTTAGTTAGTTAGTTAGTTAGTTAGTTAGTTAGTTAGTTAGTTAGTTAGTTAGTTAGTTAGTTAGTTAGTTAGTTAGTTAGTTAGTTAGTTAGTTAGTTAGTTAGTTAGTTAGTTAGTTAGTTAGTTAGTTAGTTAGTAGTTAGTTAGTTAGTAGTTAGTTAGTTAGTTAGTTAGTTAGTAGTTAGTTAGTTAGTTAGTTAGTTAGTTAGTTAGTTAGTTAGTAGTAGTTAGTTAGTTAGTTAGTTAGTTAGTTAGTTAGTTAGTTAGTTAGTTAGTTAGTTAGTTAGTTAGTTAGTTAGTTAGTTAGTTAGTTAGTTAGTTAGTTAGTTAGTTAGTTAGCCTGTATATAACATCCGACGAAATTCACCTGGTCCATTATCGGCTTTGTTGGGATCTTTACCACAAACTTTGGTGGGGATCGAGTTTTGTCTATATTCTGGAATATCGTATTGCCTATAGTTACTCCTACAATGTGGTCAGTAGTCTCGTCTACAGTATTTCTTTTCATCTATTGTATAGTCCTCTCTATATTTTCAACTATAAGTTTTTCTATAGTCTAGTCCGATTTTTTGAAATAAAACAATATTTTGGATTTTTGTTAAATTTTATTTATTTTTAAATATTTTTTGATTTAATAATTTTATTACTCATTTATACACAAATATACATTAAATTTTTTTGTTTTGGAATAGTTTAAAATATATACAGTTTATATATTAATATAAAGTTTTTTTATTTTTGGTTATTTATAAGTAAATTTATTTAATATATGGCTGTTTATTATGTTTTATATGGTAGTTGGGGGCTTCGGGGTCCTTTGGTTGTGTTCAAAATATATTAACTGTTATGAATTAGTTTGGAAACCTATAGTAAGTAAATGCTAAATGGTTTCACATGTCAAAATTTTTTAAGTGAAATATTGCTGTAAAAGCAAGTGGTTGAATAACTGCTTTTAAGAAAGCAATTATATAAGGGATTCTAGGAAATGTGTTGTGAAGTTTGTTTTTTTATATTGCCAGGCCCTGTTAATATATTTGTGGGTTAAAGTTTTGTTGTTTTTATAAATTTAGTTTAAAAATTTAATTGTTTAATAGAAAAAAATGTTTTATAATAGTTTTGTTATTTCAAAAATTGGACTTTGTTTTTTTGATTTGTTTGTATGTGGTAAATTTTTCAATAAAAATATTTTCAAAATAGTTTTGTTTTTGGTTTTTTAATAGGATACATTTTATAAAGTTTGTGTGTTTTTTTTTGTAATAAATTTTTTTTATAGTCATTTAGGTATTTATTTAAATATTCCCTTAAAATGTCACATATTTAGTAGATATTTGTATTTTAATTTAAATTATTTTGTTTGTATAATAGTATTTACTTAAAAAGTTGCTAAAGTTTTGTTTAAATAATAATTTTTTTTTTTTTGATTTTCTTAGGAAATTTTATTTTTAAATATTTATTTTTTAAATTATTATAGGATTTATTATTATTTATCTCAATTTAAATTATTTGTGTAACAAGTATACTTTTTTTATAATTTATTTAACATTTATTAAAATATTTTTGTATTTATTTATAAATGTTATTACAATAACAATACTTTACAGCATATTTAAGCGTAATTTTATATAGTTTTTCCTTCTTTTGTTGTTGTTGTGGGGTGGATTTATTTATTTTAAAAGATTATAAGACTCAGCAATACTTAAGTATAATTTTTACAACTACTTACCTTTTACATTACCAGGAAGTAGTTAGGTAATGCATGTCAGTTTGACTTTTCTTCCTTTAAGGTGTTTGTGGAATGTTATTTTTGTGAAAATTCTTCATCTTAATAAGTAGTTTTCATGAATTGGCGTTAATCCTTTCCTACTGAATCTCAAAACTTTTTTCTTTAACAATTTATATCTGCTGAGTCCTTTGGTATTTAGTTTACTTTTGAAACTTTATTTTAAGTAATTTTCTATTTTTTTCTCAATATATTTGTAATAGAAAATAATTTTCTTTTCTTAAAATCCATTTCGTAATTACTTAAAATAGTAATTTGTTTTATATATTTCTTTTATAATTTATTTTAAAATAATCTTATAATTAAATTAAAAAGTTTTACTATAATTTGGTGTATTTTTCATTGTTTTCATATATATCTTTCTTAAGTTTTCTTAGTTTTTGTTCCAAAAAAAGGACGTTTTTTAAATTTTAAAAGGAACATTTTGTTAAAGTAATTTTCCTTGTTTGAAGGATATTTGGGATATCTGACTGAAAGGAATTAGAAATTCAGAAAGTGTACTATGATATCGTCTGTAGATTAGTTTACAATCTCATCTATAGACTGGTTTATAATCTCATCTATAGACTGGACTATAGTTTCATCCAAAGACTGGACTATAATCTAGTTTATAGTCTGACTATAGTCTGAAATATAGCCTCTTCTATAATTTAGTAAGTCTCTTCTATGATCATGGTTTTTGAATCTACTAACAAATTTCTTGTTGATTAGGGACATCAAGGGGTGATTTCCTCTTTTTTCCATTCTAATATGAATTGTTATAATCTAATAGAACAATTCTAATTAGAATTCTACATAAAATCCCAGCATTTTAAAGTCTAATTTCAATGATCATTCATTTTAAATGGTGACTGTCTTTGCTTATACGGTTCCCTTTAAGCCGGACATAAATCATAAGTACTTTTAGGAAGAAAGGAAATTAATTTTACCCAAAGGAAATTGTTTCGATGTTTTAGGAGGCCTAGAACAAAAACAGAACTAGAACAGAACTAGAACAGAACTAGAACAGACCTGGAACAGAACTAGAACAGAACTAGAACAGAACTAGAACAGAACTAGAATAGAACTAGAACAGAACTAGAACAGAACTAGAGCAGAACTAGAACAGAACTAGAACAGAACTAGAGCAGAACTAGAACAGAACTAGAACAGAACTAGAACAGAACTAGAACAGAACTAGAACAGAACTAGAACAGAACTAGAACAGAACTAGAACAGAACTAGAACAGAACTAGAACAGAACTAGAACAGAACTTGAACAGAACTAGAACAGAACTAGAACAGAACTAGTGCAGAAGTAGTGCAAAATTGCAGAACTAGTGCAGAACTAGAACAGAACTAGAACAGAACTAGAACAGAACTAGAACAGAACTAGAACAGAACTAGAACAACACTAGAACAGAACTAGAATAGAACTAGAACAGAACTAGAAAAGAACTAGAAAAGAACTAGAACAGAACTAGAACAGAACTAGAACAGAACTAGAACAGAACTAGAATAGAACTAGAATAGAACTAGAACATAACTAGAACATAACTAGAACAGAACTAGAACATAACTAGAACAGAACTAGAACAGAACTAGAACAGAACTAGAACAGAACTAGAACAGAACTAGAACAGAACTAGAACAGAACTAGAACAGAACTAGAACAGAACTAGAACAGAACTAGAACAGAACTAGAACAGAACTAGAACAGAACTAGAACAGAACTAGAACAGAACTAGAACTGAACTAGAACAGAACTAGAACAGAACTAGAACAGAACTAGAACAGAACTAGAACAGAACTAGAACAGAACTAGAACAGAACTAGAACAGAACTAGAACAGAACTAGAACAGAACTAGAACAGAACTAGAACAGAACTAGAACAGAACTAGAACAGAACTAGAACAGAACTAGAACAGAACTAGAACAGAACTAGAACAGAACTAAAACAGAACTAGAATTAAAATTGTTGCATTCAAATTACTGCTATAATCCCTTTTCTCACACAGAACATACCACAAAACATTCCTAAACATACATCCTGTTGGGACATTTTTTTCAAGTATCTATTGCACCCTTAGGACAAAAAGTACCTAATCTTATTACGAAGAATAAAACGTAATGGTAAACAAAAATTTGTCAACTTTGCAAAATCAAAGGCGTTGAATAGGGTGTGTTTTTTCAATGTTTGTTCCACAAAATGATTGACGACAACTGACGTTTGTCGTCGTCAACTCGAATAATATCTTAAGATTTGGTTCTTTACTGTTTAAATGATTGAGTGTACTTGATGTTTGTAAGAAATCAAGAGAAGAAGAAAAGAGAAGAAGAAAGCAAAAAGTACATATTTTGGGTTGAAAATACATTAACATATCAATCCATTAACTATTTTTGTAATGTGTATACAGTAGATTATGACAATTATTATGTTTGAATAACAAAAAAATTTAAATTTTTTTGACATTTTTTCATTAAGATGTCAAGTGCTAGCTGAAAAGAACAATTCCGAGTTTTTCGGTGAGCACTTAAGGTTACTTAAAGGGGATTTAGAGAAATTTTGACACATTTGACGTTTAAGAAATTTCGTTTGTATAAGAGTTTGAAAAAAAGTGTTTACACGATTTCAAGGAGTTTTATGTGTATGTATGTGTTAACTATTTGTGTATTTCGAGGTTTGGATATTACAATTTGTAATTGGTGTATATGTGTTTTGAATTACTTTCTCTGTTATTCATTTACTTTTGATTTGATTTCTGTTCCTTTCAAAATTTTTTAAAATTTTGTTAAAGTTTTTATTTCTTTTTTAAAGTAATTTCAATTATTGTTTAAACCATCCTTAGTTTTTAATAATTTTATTAATTATTTTTATAATTTATATAGTTTTTACTTTGATCTTTAAGTTTTTCTGTTAATTTTAACTTAAATTTTAATTTAATATATATATTTTAATAATTAAATATAATATTTATAATTTGTATTATTTTGTATGTATAATTTAATATTTTATGTAAATATTTATAATATTAGTTTATATATGTATGTATATGAATTATATATATATAGTTTATTTTATATATATATTATTATATATAATTAAATTTGTATATAATCGTATGTTATTTTTAAAAGTTTTTATTAACGTACATAATGCCACATAGCTGTCGGTTTTCGGGCATTATTTATCATATCATGCCAATGTTGGCAACCCGTACCACTTTCCTGTGGACCCAAACCAATACTGCCGATTTCTTGGGTCTCGCCACCCACTGAGACGACATAGATCTAGAACAATTAGACGAGAATATAAAAATATTATTATGAATTGTTAAAACCATAAAAAAAGTTTTAAAACGATTAAACATTTGGAGGTTTTGTCTATAATATGACTCTAATGGTTAAACCGATGGCAAAGATTATCATACATACAAAGACGTATTATAGGAAACCTATGGATCAATGTAGAACCTCATGAATCTATACAATAAAAGAGACATTGGCAACGGACAATTGTATTCCTCTGGGGAGTCATTTGTCGATAAGCTGTTATTCTAGTGAATACAAACATATTTAAGCGACTCTACTTAAACCTAACCTAAACTGATCGCAAAAGATCACAAGAGTTTACGAAACGAAAACAGATGCAGAGAAGTGTAGTACATGAACCCCTACCCTGAAGGTTTAACCCCATGGTTATATCTTTTTCAGCGTCCTCGTGTAACTTACAATTAGCAATCGGTTCAATCCGTAGACTCTCTACCTATTGAAACGCCATCCTGTCCTGATCAAACGGAAATCTCTTTCTGAGAACGGTCTACCATGCGCACCTGAATCCATCTATGAAGAACTCAGGTGGCAATTTTTGTACATGGCTGTAACGGTCCATGTACAAGCACAATCCCAACATCAAGTGAAATCAATCTTCCGGTATACCGGAAGGTGACCACCCTTTAGATGTCATGGAATATTGTATTATTTAAAATACAATCCCCATCAACTAATGACCCATTCCAGTGCATTCCTTAACCTTTTAAAGCCCGCGCAACCACACTACTGAGATGGCTCCGTTGATTCGGCAACAGCACCTAGAGATGTATTTGGTAGTCCGAAATACCCAGCCAATAAATCAGGATCTCTCTGTATGTCAGATAATTTGACAAAGGATGTAGGAACTTCCAAAGTCAATTTGAACCCAATAAGTGCCCCAACAAGTTGAGTGGCAGGTCTCAACTATAAGTCGCTAGCATGAAACAATATGCATCCTATTGAGATAGCAACGGCGCCGAGAACTTCCCTGAAGTGAAAGGTCTACTAAATCAGTACTAGTCTTCTGTCGAGCAGAGGAGTCTTTCCCGATCGTTCACCAACTACATCAGTTCCATTCTCAGACCATTAAGAACTATCTACGGAATGACAGGCAACAACCAAGTTTCTACCTGGGAATTTCCTATACTGGCGCCCTAGTACGCGAAGAGTAAGAGATACTCAATGAGTTCAGGAATCCAGCATAAGTTGCTATTTTACCCAGTGACATTTGTTGAGATGGCAACAGTAGAGAGAATCCAGGCATATACATATGTCATAGGATATATCAGACCTTAAACCAACATTCTCTCCCCGCGTATTTGGGTTTAAGCCACAACTACTACGTGGATCCCAAAGGAACCTCAACCAACTCACAAGCCAGCTCTACCAACACCAATGCAGCCTTCTCCGGTCATAGACTCATAGACACACCATTGATAGTGGCTTCTGATGGCAACAGTACCTGTCGAGCAGAGGAGTCTATCTACGGAATGACAGGCAACTACCAAGAGAATTCCCCAAGCTATACGGAGTTCAGGAATCCAGCTCTGTCACATCACCTAGTGACATCTGTTTAGATTTCAACAGCACCGGAGAGAATCCAGACAAATATGTCATAGGATATCATAAACCAACATTCTCTCCCCGCGAATTTGGGTTTAAACCACAGACACTACGTGGATCCCTAAGAAACTTCAACCAACTGACTAGCCAGTAGACTCATAGACACACCATTGTTAGTGACTTCTGAGATGGCAACGGCGCCGAGAACTTCCCTGAAGTAAAAGGTCTACTAAATCAGTACTATTCTCTTGTCGAGCAGCACTTCGTGCTCTCCTAAAGGATCTTTACCAACAATCAGAACAAGACTACTATTCCTCCAACTAGTGCCCGTGTTATAAAATAAGAAACGCTGTTAAGCTATGAGTAAAGAACTCTTCGTTTTATGTTCTTATTACTTGCAACACTGCAAGACCTTGAGTACAGTGTTGCTACCAGTCCCTCAAGTTTTACATCCTATAAAAATGGAGATGTTCTTAACTCAAGCTACCAAGATTTCCTATCTATATTAAGATAACTACTCGTTACAACCCTTTAAAGTTGTCCATGAGCATATCTTGTTTCTTTGATCTTACTGGCGTAAAGAGGGGCAACCCTCTCTCTAGGCCTCACGGTACTTAAAACCGAAAAACACGGCTATTCTTGTTCTTATCTGTTACCATAAAACTAGCGAAATTCTAAAAACACGACTACGTATAGGTGCTCAGAAACACGGTTTCTCAATGTATTTCTCTCTCCTTGATGTTACTGCAATTGCAGCGTTAAAGATGCTTCAGGCTTCATAGTAACCAATACTGAAAAAGTTCTTAATTCAAAACTTTCCAGAGTTCCTATCTGTCACCATTAGAACCAGTTGTCTGCAATCTGTTTTCTGTTTTTGGTGAAAGGCCTTCGATGATTAGGTACGTAGTTATTGTGGCTGAAACACAAATCGATAGAAACTTAGTTTGCTTGAATGAATTTCATTTGCTTCTATCAGCAGGAATTCTGTGGCAAGGATGCAATCTCCTATAACTTAAGTTCTTACGGAAATTTCCCATGTATTGTCCGAGTTCTTGTAAAACTTTCGCTATAAAGTTCCTCCTGGATCATATTATTTTGGTGACTTTCCGAACCTTAAGGGCTGTATTTCTGTGAGTTTTCGTGAGGTCGCATTCTACTGTTGGGAGTAGTAACTGTAGTGGTCTAGGTTGTCCCCCAATCAAAACTTTTTTATGAGGTTAAAGAGTGTAACAGCTGTTACCATGATGATTGGGTGTCGGAATAGTAAGGACAAGGTGATAACCTTATCGAAGCGTCTATCCCTACGGAGATCTTGGTTATATTATTATATACGTTTAATGGTGTCTGTGGATGTTCGAAAGTTTCCTATTCCTGGGAAGTCATACTTCAGATTTTTCAAATAGTGAAGGGCATGAGACAACACTCTCATGGTAACTGAGGATGTTTAAATGTTTCCTATTCCTGGGAGTCATACTTGAGATTTTTACCGAAAAAAGCCTTTGATTGTCCTGGAACTATGGTCACCGAAAAAACCTTTAATTCTCTTAGAACTATGGTCACTCTCTGGAAAAGACGAGTTGTATTTGCAATAAAAAAAGAGGTTGCCTAATCTGACTTCATATCAGCTGCTATTCAGGTGATATTATTTGGACCTGGACAGACTTCTAGCTACCGAAATGATGACAAAATCTTTGTTATTTTTTTTCTTCTTACCTCTATGGCTGCATTGTGCAAATAGGATGATTGTAAATTAAAAGTAAATGGTTCATTCCAAGTGGGATTGGCGGCATCTTCAGATTTACTAATGCTCGTCTTGCGTTTCTTAACACGTTTGCCATTTTGAATCAAATATAACTAAAAGAAGAAAATCGCAAATTTAAACACTACAAATGCAAAATGAAAGCAAATGTCCAATTACCTTCACATAAGTTTCCTGTATTGTATCCAAATTCTTGGCCTTCATTATGACCACCGTTAAACGTTCGGCTTGAGGCAAATAGTTCAAAGAACATAATAGTTCGGGGCGATCTTCTGGAGGTTTTTTGGTGCGCAATAAATCACCCCAGATCTGGAAAGACAGTTAAAAAAAGAAGATTTTAGGTAAGGAATTTGAAAGCTTGCAAAAGTTTTTACCTCCACAGATTTCGATAGATCCAGCTCATCAATACTGATGCGTACTTCACCAATTATATCATTGTGAGAATAACGATCATAGTCTAGAACCTGTAAAATCAATTCTTTGCCCTGCAATTGATCACGTGAAACCGGAAATTTAAAATGTTGATCAAAATAGGGATTAGTTTCACCACGATGTATGAGCGTTTGACGTTTGCGTTTATCCACTTCGGGTTCCAAGAGCAAGCGTACATAAGGATCACGGAAACCACCCTCCTCAATGGGACATAAATTATGAGCTGTTGGGAGTTAGAAAATGGATTAATTAAAGATTTTTAAAAGGTATTGGAGTTGTAGTTTACCCTCAATCAAGTGCACAGTCAAATCGAATAAATGATAATCGTATTTAACCCTTAAATGTAAACGACCCAATGCTGGACTATTTTCAGGAGCATTTAAGTAAATAGGACCATCCGGACCACGATACAAATCAGGTTGTATGGCACCCAATGGTGAAGCAGGTCCCATGGTAGGATCAACATTGGGCTGTATTCTGGGTGGTATTAGTAAAGGTGAAATACATCTATTGCCATGTTTCGACGAGTGAGGAGAATGAGGGGAAAGAGGAGCATTCGAAACACTAGACAAAGAGGCCAAACTATTTTGCGAGGGACTAGAGGTGCGCAAATCGGCCACCTCGGCAGCCACTTGACTGGCACTACGGGCATCCAGGGATATGGTGCGCATAGGACTGGGAGTACGTGACAGCTAAGGGGGAAGAAAAATGTATTCACTTAAGGATTAACCAAGATAGCAATGATAATGGTATTTACATAATAAGGGAACACCGATTCGGTGGGCAAAGAACTGCGACCATCAGGACCAAAGGTACGAATTTGTGGTGAGGAACCACGATGACACTGTAAGGGAAAATATTCCATTAATGGGATCTATAAAAGGATTGTTAAAGTTACTTACTGATTGCCTAGAAGGAGCACTATCTACACTGGATTGGCTTGAGATTGAAGGTGTACGTTGTAGTCTCGGTGGAAATGATCTTGACTGATGATGCAAATGTAAAGGACTGTGTAAAACATCAGCTGGACCCCTTAAAACGTCTGCATTAACAGTATGTGTAGAACCTTGATTCGATTGAGGTTGTATTGGTTGGGATTCTCGGGTAAAATTAACCTCCTAAAAAGGAAAGAAAGAGGAAATTGGAAATTAAAACAATATACTAGATAAGTTTAAGCCCATAACCTATAAAATTATTAAGAAAGTTAATTATGAAAAGTGTTTAGATTGGGTGGAAGAAAACTCTCCCCCCCCCCAAAACAATACTTCACCTGTTCTGAATCTGTATGCAAATCATAACTATCCGTTACACTACCAATACCGCTGGTATTCGATGTTAACGATGATGCCGATGGTGGCGGTGTCATTGGCTGTGATAACGGTGGTGTATGTGATGTATTTGATCCGATTTGATTAGCTGCTGCAGCCGAAGCATTGTTCACACCAGCATTATTAGCATTATTTGAGTTATTTGATGTTGTTGGCAAATCTTCGGAATTACGATCTAATGTTACTTTACGCACAGCACCGACACGTTCTTTAGCCATGCGTGACCATGATTCTATACGTTTGTGGGCGAGCCAACATGCCGCCGGTCCTAAACCGCTCATTATTTGTGAAAATATTTTGACAAATTACTACGTTGAACACTTTAAAGTCTTTTCACACAAAAACTTGGAGGGTTTCTTACAAGTTTTTCTAAAGTTTTTTGGTTAAAACATTAAGTCTGTTTAGTTTTTCTTAAATTACTGTTGTTTTAAGTTTAAATAAAGAACTGTAATGTTTTTAATTATTTATTTGATTATTTTCCACCAAAACAAAAAGCTTTTCATCTTTGTTTTTCAATTTTAAAATTATAAATTTTTAAACACTTTCTGTCCTTAACATCTTGTAACTAAAGCCTTCCTATGGTGGTTTGTGGTTTCGTAGCAGTCCCTAGTTAATATCAGCAATTATTTCTTGTATTTGTTTCTGTGGTTTCATAACCACGTTTTACATTCACCTACAGTCATCCAATTACAAATACACTTTAACATTTTGAGCGGATTTATAAGGATGTCCTTAAACTTTCAAGGACAATATTTTAATTAAGATTTTGGGTCTTAAACTACTTAGGAGGCAATTAAGTGATTCTGTGCAGTGTTAGGGAACCTGACAGAGGAATAGTAATGGAGTCAATATTCACTAGTCTTTAAGATCTGAAACATAAATTGGGATTACACGGTGACCCTATTGATCATGCCCTTGATTAGTTAGTGAGATGGAAATCGTTTGATTTCTGATGTTAGTTGGCATTACCCTAATTATGACAATTAAGCGTCATTTACAATGAACGCATACATACAATCTTGAGGAACCAAACTAAATAGTTATACCACCACAATCATCTTTAATCTCTGGTTGTGTATATGTATAAGTACATGTATATTTTAGAGGACGTTTTCATACACCAGAAATGGAACAAGTTAACAATGGCAATTAATGGCGGTAATTTGGAGCAACAAAGGAACATCAACCAAGAAAATCATATTGAAATAGTTAAGCTAGAGAGTTAAAGTTTAAGCAGAGAATATTAACAGAACTAGAACAGAACTAGAATAGAACTAGAACAGAACTAGAACAGAACTAGAACAGAACTAGAACAGAACTAGATCAGAACTAGATCAGAACTAGAGCAGAACTAGAACAGAACTAGAACAGAACTAGAACAGAACTAGAACAGAACTAGAACAGAACTAGAACAGAACTAGAACAGAACTAGATCAGAACTAGAACAGAACTAGAACAGAACTAGAACAGAACTAGAACAGAACTAGAACAGAACTAGAACAGAACTAGAACAGAACTAGAACAGAACTAGAACAGAACTAGAACATAACTAGAACATAACTAGAACAAAACTAAAACAGAACTAGAACAGAACTAGAACAGAACTAGAACAGAACTAGAACAGAGCTAGAACAGAACTAGAACAGAACTAGAACAGAACTGGAACAGAACTAGAACAGAACTAGAAACAGAACTAGAACAGAACTAGAACAGAACTAGAACAGAACTAAAACAGAACTAGAACAGAACTAGACCAGAACTAGAACATAACTAGAACATAACTAGAACAGAACTAGAACAGAACTAGAACAGAACTAGAACAGAACTAGAACAGAACTAGAACAGAACTAGAACAGAACTAGAACAGAACTAGAACAGAACTAGAACAGAACTAACAGAACTAGAACAAGAACTAGAACCAGAACTAGAACAGAACTAGAACAGAACTAGAACAGAACTAGAACAGAACTAGAACAGAACTAGACAGAACTAGAACAGAACTAGAACAGAACTAGAACAGAACTAGAACAGAACTAGAACAGAACTAGAACAGAACTAGAACAGAACTAGAACAGAACTAGAACAGAACTAGAACAGAACTAGAACAGAACTAGAACAGAACTAGAACAGAACTAGAACAGAAACTAGAACAGAACTAGAACAGAACTAGAACAGAACTAGAACAGAACTAGAACAGAACTAGAACAGAACTAGAACAGAACTAGAACAGAACTAGAACAGAACTAGAACAGAACTAGAACAGAACTAGAACAGAACTAGAACAGAACTAGAACAGAACTAGAACAGAACTAGAACAGAACTAGAACAGAACTAGAACAGAACTAGAACAGAACTAGAACAGAACTAGAACAGAACTAGAACAGAACTAGAACAGAACTAGAACTAAACAGAACTGAACTAAAACTGAACTAAAACTGAACTAGAACAGAACTAGAACAGAACTAGAACAGAACTAGAACAGAACTAGAACAGAACTAGAACAGAACTAGAACAGAACTAGAACAGAACTAGAACAGAACTAGAACAGAACTAGAACAGAACTAGAACAGAACTAGAACAGAACTAGAACAGAACTAGAACAGAACTAGAACAGAACAGAACTAGAACAGAACTAGAACAGAACTAGAACAGAACTAGAACAGAACTAGACAACTAGACAGACTAGAACAGAACTAGAACAGAACTAGAACAGAACTAGAACAGAACTAAAATAGAACTAGAACAGAACTAGAACAGAACTAGAACAGAACTAGAACAGAACTAGAACAGAACTAGAACAGAACTAGAACAGAACTAGAACAGAACTAGAACAAAACTAGAACAGAACTAGAACAGAACTAGAACAGAACTAGAACAGAACTAGAACAGAACTAGAACAGAACTAGAACAGAGCTAGAATAGAGCTAGAACAGAACTAGAACAGAACTAGAACAGAACTAGAACAGAACTAGAACAGAACTAGAACAGAACTAGAACAGAACTAGAACAGAACTAGAACAGAACTAGAACAGAACTAGAACAGAACTAGAACAGAACTAGAACAGAACTGGATAACACTGAACTTGGGGAAGCATTGACTCCTTAAAGAACTGCTGGTTACTGACAGTATTCTTTAATTTTAAATTATTTGTTTATTTTCAAACATTTTTTAATTTGTTTAGGTTTGTTTTCATAAATTTTTTTTCTAACATTTCTCCCCATTGTTTGGGGGGCTTCTTTTCTTTAAAGAAATTCTCAAAAGCTTGAAGTAGGTCAAACCATTAAATTGGCACCATCACGACTATATGTCTACATATAATGTTACAACTTTTACTCTCCTTTTATTAAATGTATTGAAAAAGTGCTCGCTGGCTTTTTAATGACAGTTTGTTACGTTTTTATTTTTTAATTTACTGTTAGAGTTTTTAACCCACATTGCGATTAAGAAAATATTGAACAAATATTTCATTTATTTCTCTAGTAAGTAGAATTTTTATGTTTATTACTTGTTAACAAAAGCAAAATTGTAAAATGAAATGTGGAGAGAAAAAGAAACTAAAACAGTTAATAATCGTTATAATAAAACTTTAGGACATTTGTGTTAAGAATTTTAAAATAGAAAAATAAATTAAAAAACTATTCTAAGGAACCCATAAAGAGAAAATACGTGAGTGTGGGTGAAAACATAAGGAATGAAGTCATTTCATAAACAGCTTACTTTACGCAAGATAAAACCTTTTTCTTTTGACTTCAACAAACCCTATTGCCTTTAATTATTTTGTAAAAGATTAAAAAGTTGACAAATTTCTATGACTCTCTAAACAATTTAAATTCTTTTAGCTCAAGTCAATCCTTACTTTGTTGACTTCCGTTTTAGCTTTGGCCTTCTTATAGTTTTTGCTTATTTTTTTATTATTTTTAAATCCTATTTTTGTAATCTTTAAATCCATGGTTTTAATCTCGTACCAATTAGTAAGTTTTCCAACAATACATTTACATTCTCTCTCTCACACTTACGCATCAACGCAAGTAAACAAACAAAATTTTACATTTTCTATTTCCGTTTATTAACATCCTGTCGCCTGTTAACAACCATTGTCAATTTCAATGTTGTCATCACCCCATGTTAGACAATAAGCAACAAAATAACAATATTATACATAGAACAGACAGACGACTTTTAAATGTAACAACTTTTACCAATACTAAAGAAAATTTGAAAACAACATACACACAGATTAAGTCAAAATAATAGTCCAATGACTTGTCCACAGAGCTGCCAATAGATATGTAAGTCCATAGACTAGTCGGAAGGAATAGTAGACTATAGTATGGTCTAATCTATAGTCTAGTTTATAATCTAGTATATAGTCTATTCTATATTCTAGTCTATAGCTCAGTCTAGTGTATAGTGTAGTCTATATATAGTCTAGTCTATAATCTAGTCCAGTCTATAGTCTAGTCCAGTCTATAGTCTAGTACCGTCTATAGTCAAGTCAAGTCTATTGTCTAGTCCAGTCTAGAGTCTAGTATATAGTCTAGTCTAGACTACAGACTCTATAGTCTATTCTATAGTCCGGTCTATAATCTAGTCTATAGTCTAGGCTATAGTCTAGTCTACAGTCTAGTCTATAGTCTAGTCTATAGTCTAGTCTATAGTCTAGTCTTATGTCTATAGTCTAGTCTATAGTCTAGTCTATAGTCTAGTCTATAGTCAGTCTATAGTCTAGTCTATAGTCTAGTCTATAGTCTAGTCTATAGTCTAGTCTATAGTCTAGTCTATAGGTCTAGTCTATAGTCTAGTCTATAGTCTTAGTCTATAGTCTAGTCTATAGTCTAGTCTATAGTCTAGTCTATAGTCTAGTCTATAGTCTAGTCTATAGTCTAGTCTATAGTCTAGTCTATAGTCTAGTCTATAGTCTAGTCTATAGTCTAGTCTATAGTCTAGTCTATAGTCTAGTCTATAGTCTAGTCTATAGTCTAGTCTATAGTCTAGTCTATAGTCTAGTCTATAGTCTAGTCTATAGTCTAGTCTATAGTCTAGTCTATAGTCTAGTCTATAGTCTAGTCTATAGTCTAGTCTATAGTCTAGTCTATAGTCTAGTCTATAGTCTAGTCTATAGTCTAGTCTATAGTCTAGTCTATAGTCTAGTCTATAGTCTAGTCTATAGTCTAGTCTATAGTCTAGTCTATAGTCTAGTCTATAGTCTAGTCTATAGTCTAGTCTATAGTCTAGTCTATAGTCTAGTCTATAGTCTAGTCTATAGTCTAGTCTATAGTC